GCTCACCGGAGCCGCTGATTGCAGCAGTGGCTCCAACGCAGCAGGAGGAAGAGGAGCAGTTGAGACCCCGGAGGGGGTACGGAGGCTTAATCAGTGATTCCCTGGAGCAGCAGAGTCCTTCCCTAGGGAGGGGGTTCCTCCTCTGGTCGCTGCCAGACCTGGGGGTGATGCCTGGGGATGGGGTTTTGGGAGGATCCGGACTGCGTCGTCCTGGGATTGTGCGCGTTGTGTGGATGCAGCCGCGGGGAAGAGCCAGCCAAGGAATTGGCATCAGCAGTGGGAGCTTCTCGTCCTGCCTCGGGGTGGGTGAAGGTGTCCCTGCCTGAACGGTGTCCCCTGGGACCTGGGCTCTGGGATTTTGGCCCCAGCAACCCCACAGCCGTCCCTTACCCCTGCACAGCGCCGTCTCCAGGAGGGCATCCAAGCACAAACAGGGAGAAATTCCTTGATACGCGATGGTGCCTCCTCCTCCTCCTCTAGCCCAGCGTGATACTGGACAGTTTTGTTACCTCCTGCAAAACTCCGCTGCTGAATTTGGGCTCGGACACACGATTAAGTTGTTAACGTGCTGCCCCCACCAGTGGTCCCTGCCCATTTCACTGCCCGGGGACCCTTTTTATGCCAGCGGTGCAGCCCAGGTGCCTGCTGGAGGGTGTAAAGGACGACGAAGCAACCAAAGTCATCCTCTGGCCAAATCAACCTCATGCATCTGTACTGAGTGGGGGGACCTCAAGGAGGCAGAGGGAAGTCGGTGGGGTCAGCTGAGGGAAGTCAGTGAAGTGGGATCCTGGGGTGGGATGTAGCAATGTCACAGTGGGATCGGCCACCACCCATCACGGAGCAGGTGATTGTGGCAAAGCTGGGCTGCTCCCATGGGTGATCGTGTGGGAGAATTGGCCATGAAGAGGAGCTGGAGGGGCTGTTCGGGGCCAAACAGCTGAAAACGCTGATTTCCAGGCCATTATTATAGGGTGGGTTTGGTTGGAAGAGACCCTTCGAGGTCCCAGCTCCTGCTCAGACCCCAGCTCAGGTGACAACGCTGGCGGAATTTACCCCAGGTAATGCTTTGGCCCCTGCTCTTTTAGGGTGTTTTGATGCAATGGTCACAGCGAGGGCCCTGGCACCAGCCTGGCAGAGCTGAAGGTCCCCCTCACCCCCATCCTGTGTCCGAATTGTGGGGCGGGCACAAAGCCACCGCTCTGGCGTTTCTTAGAGCGGGGTCAAAACCCGACTTTGCACAGATGCCGTTGGGAAAACCAGGCGTAAACACTCCAGGGAGAGGGTTTGGGGAGGGTTTTGGGGCTGCTTGCTGGTGGCGACGTCTCCGCTTCGGCTCCGTGTTTTGGCAGGCGGGAGAACAAGCTGCGGATCCAGAACGGCTGGTTGTGCCACCTCGCCCCTGAGATCATCCGCCAGCTCTCGCCGGACACCGAGGAGGACAAGCTGCCCTTCTCCAAGCACTCGGATGTCTTCGCGCTGGGGTGAGTGGCCACGGTGGCATGGGTGGGCGGACGGCAGAGAACCGGCGTGGG